TGCTTGGGTCGGGGGGGGGGGGCCCCTGGATGGACCTCGGGGCTCCGGGGTCTGGAGGGCACAGGGGTCCCAGAGTGCAGTGGTCGGGGGGCCCTGGGTCCGGCTGCAGGGTGCTGGAGGGTCTCTGGGTGCAGGGGTCCCTGGGTGGGTGCAAGGGGCTGGGGGCCCCTGGGTGGGTGCCAGGGTAAGGGGAGGTCCCTGGGTGGGTGCAGAACACCAAGGTCCGCTGGCTCCTTGGGTGGGTGCCAGGGTCTGGCCGAGGCTGCCCCCGGGCAGGTCCTGTGCCTTCCACTGTGCCCGTGTCCCCCCGTCCTGCCCGTGTCCCCACAGGTCTCCGAGCTCGGCCTGGAGGGTGACGTCCTGCCCGTCCCCGGGGACCACCCGGCCTCCAGGAACCGCTTCCTCTACACCGGCGGGGCCCTGCACAAGATGCCCTCGGGCCTGGGGTAGGTGCCCGCCCCGGTGACACCCCGGTGCCACCCGTGGGCCGCCCTCCCCTGAGCCCTCGGTGTACCCAGAGGCCTGCTGCGGCCAGTGCCCCCCTTCTCGCGGGCGCTGCTCTGGAGCGGGGTGCGGGACCTGCTGGCGCCAGCTGGGACGGAGTCCGACGAGAGCGTGCACGCCTTCGTTCATCGCCGCTTCGGCCGGGAGGTGGGCGCCTGCACTGGGCGATAGTGCCGGGGTCTTATCAGGGCCCAGCAGGGGCCGGGTGGGGACCGGCCTCACCCCACCATGTCCCCGCAGGTGGCCGACATCGCCGTGGACAGCCTGTGCCGGGGGGTGTTTGCCGGGGACTGCCGGGCACTGAGCATCCGCTCCTGCTTCCCCGCGCTCTTTGAGGCCGAGCGGCGCCGGCGATCCGTCCTGCTGGGGCTGGCGCTGGGCTCCGGTGAGCGCCGGGCCGGGGGGAACACGTGGTGGGGGAACACCCCGGTGCCACCACTGTGGCACACAGGGACACTGGCATTGTCACCCGCAGGGAAGGAGCGCGGGGCCGAGTCAGGGCTGAGCCAGCGGGCACGGGCTGAGCGCTGGAGCCAGTGGTCGCTGCGGGGTGGGATGGAGAGCCTGCCCGAGGCGCTGGCGGCCTTCCTGCGCCTGCGCGGCGTCGAGCTGCGCTGTCACACGCCCCTGCGCCGCCTGAGCCGCCGCCCCGACGGCCGCTGGCAGGTAGGGCCCTGGGGTGGGGGGTTCCAGGACGCCTGGGTCCCCTTCCCAGTGCCCCCCACCGCCACCGCTCTCCTTCCCCCCAGCTCACCCTGGCAGACGGCACCGTGACGGCCGACCACGTGGTCAGCGCCCTCCCGGCCGCAGGTAGGGGTGGGGGTGCCCTGACACCTGGGTTCCCCCTGGGTGGGGAGGAGGGGGGAACCCCCCCTGATGTTCCCTCTCCTCCCAGCCCTGGCTGAGGTCCTGCCAGCCGAGGCCGAGCCGCTGGCACAGGAGCTACGGCACATCCCGACTGTGTCAGTGGCCGTGGTGAACCTGCAGTACGAGGGTGTCGCATTGCCTGTCACGGTAAGAGCGGTGCCCACGCGTGATGCCAGCACCCACGGGTGTCCCCATCCTGCTCATGCTGCTACTCTTGCCCAGGGCTTTGGGCACTTGGTGCCCTCCTCCGAGGATGCCTCCCTCCTGGGCATTGTCTACGACTCAGTGGCCTTTCCCCAGCACGACGCCACGGGGGCCGCCTCGGTGCGGCTGACGGTGAGCCACCGGGAATTAGGGGGACAGGGATGATCCGTGGGGGGCTCACGGTGCCACTGGTGCCATATAGGTGATGCTGGGAGGCGCCTGGTTCGGGCAGAGCTTTGGGGACCCGGCGACAGTGGCGCCGGCACTGCTGCTGCGGCGGGCACAGGCGGCCGTGCGGGAGCAGCTGGGCCTGGAGCCGGCCCCGACCCGCTCCATCGTCAGGGTGCACCAGGTGGGTGACGGCACTGCGGGGCGGGGGACTTGGGGGGGTCCCGGGGGGGCT